ACTATTACACGCACTTACTATACATCATTACTATTACACCAATCTTACTATATACCATCATTACATTACACCAAACTTACTATATACATCCATTACTAATACACCATCTTACGATATACATCATTACTATTGCACTCATCTTAGCTATACCTCATTACTATTACACCATCTACTATATACATCAGTACTATTACACCATCTAATATACCAGCATTACTATTACACCATCTTACTCATATAAATCCTTACTATATACATCATTACCTATTACACACATCCTCCTCTATACATCAATACTATTAACCATCTTACCTATATTACATCATTACTATTACACCATCTTACCTATACATCATTACTATTACACCATCTTAACTATATACATCATTAAGCCAGTTACACCATCTTACTATACATCATTACTATTACACCATCGTACTATATCATCATTACTACACACCATCATACTATATACATCATTAACAATTACACCCCATCTTACTAATACATCATTCCTATTACACCATCTTACTATAAAAAAAAACCCCCCCATCATTACTATACACCATCTTACTATATACATCATTACTATACACCATCTTACTATACCATCATTACTATTACACCCATCTTACTATATACATCATTACTTTTACACCATCTTACTAATACTTCATACTATTACCACCATCTTACTATATACATCATTACTATTACACCATCTTACTATACATCATTTACCCCCCCCTATTAACACTCATCTTACATATACATCATTACTATTGACACCACTTACATACATCCATTACTATTACACCATCTTACTATACATCATTACTATTACACCACTCTATTATTACTATTATACTAATTATTAATTACTATTATTACGATTAGTTACTATGATTACTATGTTTACAGGATGATTTCGTGATGATGTACGAGGATGTACTTGTGGTACTGGTGTAGGCAGAGATGTCCGAGTAGGTAGAGAAAGACGGTGGTAGTGGTGGTCGTGTGACTTAGTGTTGGTGAAGTGGTGGTAGCGGTGGTAGTGGTGGTCGTAGTGGTCCGTTGTGGTAGTGGAGGTCGGTTGGTGGTCGTGGTGGTCGTGGTTGTCGTGGGGTAGTGGTGGTCCGGTGGTGGTGATATTGGTGGAAGTTGTGGTCAATGGTGGTTGTGGTGGCAGTGATGGTAGATTGTCGTTGTGGACGGGTGGTGGCAGAATTCTGGGGTTATGTGGGTGCAGTATTGTGGGTGGCAGTATTGGTAGGTGGCAGTATGTAGGTGGCAGATTGGGGTGCAGTAATTGTGGGTGGCAGTATTGAGGGTGGCAGTATGTGGGAAGCAGTTATTGAGGTGGCAGAATTCTGGTGGGTGTATTTGTGGGTGGCAGTATTGTGGGTGGCAGTATTGTAGGTGGCAGTATTGTGGGTGGCAGTATTGAGGGTGGCAGTATTGTGGGAAGCAGTATTATGGGTGGCAGAATTCTGGGTGGGTGTAATTTGTGGGTGCAGTATTGTGGGTGGCAGTATATGGGTGGCAGCATTGTGGTGGCAGTATTGAGGGTGGCAGTATTGTGGATTGCATATGCGCGAGCAGTATTGTGGGTGGCAGTATTGTGGGTGGGCAGTATTGTTGGGTGACAGTATTGAAGGGGGCAGCATTGTGGGAGGCAGTATTGGTGGGTTGCAGTATGTGGGTGGCAGAATTGTGGGTGGCATTATTTTGAGGGTGGCAGTATTGGGTGGGAAGCATATTGTGGGTGGCAGAATTCTGGGTGGGTGTATTGTGGGTGGCAGTATTGTGGGTGGCAGTATTGTGGGTGGCAGCATTGTGGGTGGCAGTATTGAGGGTGGCAGTATTGTTGGTGGCAGTATTGTGGGTGGCAGAATTTTGGGTGGCTGTATTGTTGGTGGCAGTATTGTGGGTGGCAGTATTGTGGGTGGCAGCATTGTGGGTGCCAGTATTGAGGGCGGCATTATTGTGGGTGGCAGTATTGTGGGTGGCAGAATTCTGGGTGGCTGCATTGTGGGTGGCAGTAATGTGGGAGGCAGTATTGTGGGAGGCAGTATTGCGGGTGACAGTATTGTGGGTGGCAGTATTGTGGGAGGCAGTATTGTGGGTGACAGTTTTGTGGGTGGCAGTATTGTGGGAGGCAGTATTGTGGGAGGCAGTATCGTGGGTGGCAGTATTGTGGGTGGCAGTATTGTGGGAGGCAATATTGAGGGAGGCAGTATTGTGGGTGGCAGTATTGTGGGTGGTAGAATTCTGGGTGGCTCTATTGTGGGTGGCAGTATTGTGGGTGGCAGTATTGTGGGTGGTAGAATTCTGGGTGGCTGTATTGTGTGTGGCAGTATTGTGGGAGGCAGTATTTTGGGTGGCAGTATTGTGGGAGGTAATATTGTGGGTGGTAGTATTGTAGGAGGCAGTAGTGTGAGTGGCAGTATTGTGGGTGGCAGTATTGTGGGAGGCAGTATTGTGGGTGTCAGTATTGTGGGAGGCACTATTGTGGGTGGCAGTATTGTAGGAGGCAGTATTATTGGTGGCAGTATTGAGGGTGGCAGTATTGTGGGTGGCAGTATTGAGGGTGGCAGTATTGTGGGTGACAGTATTGTGGGTGGCAGTATTGAGGGTGGCAGTATTGTGGGTGACAGTATTGTGGGTGGCAGTATTGTGGGTGACAGTATTGGGGGTGGCAGTTTTGAGGGTGGCAGTATTGTGGGGTGACAGTATTGTGGGTGGCAGTATTGTGGGTGGCATTTATTGTGGGTGACAGTATTGTGGGTGGCAGTATTGTGGGTGACAGTATTGTGGGTGGCAGTATTGAGGTGGCAGTATTGTGGGTGACAGTATTGAGGGTGGCAGTATTGTGGGTGACAGTATTGTGGGTGGCAGTATTGAGGGTGGCAGTATTGTGGGTGGCAGTATTGTGGGTGGCAGTATTGTGGGTGACAGTATTGTGGGTGGCAGTATTGTGGGTGACAGTATTGTGGGTGGCAGTATTGTGGGTGGCAGTATTGAGGGTGGCAGTATTGTGGGTGACAGTATTGAGGGTGGCAGTATTGTGGGTGGCAGTATTGTGGGTGGCAGTATTGTGGGTGACAGTATTGGGGGTTTGGCAGTATTGTGGGTGACAGTATTGTGGGTGGCAGTATTGAGGGTGGCAGTATTGTGGGTGGCAGTATTAAGGGTGACAGTATTGAGGGTGGCAGTATTGTGGGTGACAGTATTGAGGGTGGCAGTATTGTGGGTGACAGTATTGTGGGTGGCAGTATTGAGGGTGGCAGTATTGTGGGTGGCAGTATTGTGGGTGGCAGTATTGTGGGTGACAGTATTGTGGGTGGCAGTATTGTAGGTGACAGTATTGTGGGTGGCAGTATTGTGGATGGCAGTATTGTGGGTGACAGTATTGTGGGTGGCAGTATTGTGGGTGACAGTATTGAGATTGGCAGTATTGTGGGTGGCATTATTGTTGCTGACAGTATTGTGGGTGGCAGAATTCTGGGTGGCAATATTGTGGGTGGCAGTACTCTGTGAGGCAGTATTGCGGGTAGCAGTATTGAGGGTGGCAGTGTTTTGGGTGGCAGTATTGTGGGTGGCAGTATTGTGGGTGAGAGTATTGTGGGTGGCACAATTTTGGGTGGCAATATTGTGGGAGGCAGTATTGTGAGAGGCAGTGTTGTGGGTGGCAGTATTGTGGGTGGCAGTATTTTGGGTGGCAGTATTGTGGGTGGCACAATTCTGGGTGGCAATATTGTGGGAGCCAGTATTGTGGTTGACTGTATTGTAGGTAGCTGTATTGTGGGTGGCAGAATTGTGGGAGGCAGTATTGTGGGTGGCATTATTGTGGGTGGCAGTATTGTGGGTGGCAGTATTATGAGCGGCAGCATTGTGATGGCAGTATTGTGATGGCAGTGTTGACTGTGGCAGCATTGTGGGTGGCAGTTTTGAGGGTGGCAATGTTATGGGTGGCAATATTGTGGGAGGCAGTATTATGGGAGGCAATATTGTGGGTGGCAGTATTGTGGGTGGCAGTATTGTGAGTGGCAGTATTGTGGGTGGCAGTATTGTGGGTGGGACTGCTGTGGGTGGCACTGTTGTGGGTGGCAATAACGTGGGTGGCAGTATTGTGGGTGGCAGTATTGTGAGTGGCAGTATTGAGGGTGGCAGTATTGTGGGTGGGACTGTTGTGGGTGGCAGTATTGTGGGTGGCAATATTGTGAGTGGCAGCATTGTGGGTGGCAGTATTGTGGGTGGCAGTATTGTGGGTGGCAGTATTGTGGGTGGCAGTATTGTGGGTGGCAGTATTGTGGGTGGCAGTGTAGGGGTCCACAATATATATCCAGCAACATGGGGGCAGCAAAATGGGGCAACAACACGGGGGGCGGCAGTAAGTGGGCGTCGTGGGCGGTATGTGGGCGGGGGAGGGGCGGCGCCCCCTGTGGTTACTTCACTGTATTAAACTGCTATAATGACCAAGGCGAGATTTATGGGCGGCAGTGTACATTATATATGTTATGTAAGGTTATCAATGCATTATAGATAGGGAAGGAGGGCGGTGGGCGGCATGGGGGGCGACGCGCCCTATTGCTAGCGGGCGGGCGGTTGATTGGCCGGGGAGATGTGGGCGGTGGGCGGAGTGGAAACCTGCTGGCCAAGAAGGGTTAGAGGTGGGATGTAGTGGTCCGCCCACTGGCCACCCTGCCGCCCAATCCTGTGCTCTGGGTGGCGCTAGCCCCGCCCATTCTAACGATTCCTGTCTCTCTGGTCTCCGTTTCTATTCTCGGTTATTGCTTCGTTTGTTGCGTTCTATCTCTCGTTTACTGCTTTTTCTCGAAGAGGAGGATAGGGAGAAGGCTGATAACCCTTTTAACCTCGAAGTAATGGTACGTTTCCGTTCGAAACGTCGCGGGGATACGGATGTGGTTGAAGGTCACGTTTTGGTCTCAAGTGGGCGGGGCTGCGCAAGTTGTGTGCCACTCTGGGCGGTGCCACCGTCACCATCACTACTACGCCACCCTTGGTGACACCAGTGTCACGACGCCCACACAGCCACCCAGCCACCCAGTCAGCCAGCCGCCCTCGAACGACTAGAGGAACGTCTCACACACACACACACACAAACCTCTGGGATTTCCTCTTGTAGGTCCTCCTGTACCTTTGGAAGACCCGCAGTACCTTTGGAAGTCTCGCAGTACCATTGGAAGTTCTTCAGCGCCTTCGGTGTCCTTCACAGTACCTTCGAAGTATTGCAGTTCTAACGATCTCTTGCAGTTCTAGCGACATCCTGCAGTTCCCTCGAAGTCTCTTATACCTTCGAACTCACGAAGACATCCTCTGCAGCGAGCAACTTCGACTCCACCTGGGGGCTTTCGACGTGTGAGGCACGCTTACAAACCTGTCTGCTGGTGGCATACCCCTGCAGCCTATCTGAAGGAGTGATACCCTGCAGCCCTGTATACCCGCAACGCATACTAACCCCGTCTGCTGGAGGGATACCCGACATCCTGTCTGAGGGGATACCTTTCATCCTGACGAAGGAGGTGGCTGTGCTCCCTGTCGACAGGTAGTCTCTTGCCTCCTGCCTATTGACTGTCCCCTACTGTCTTTCTCCTGTCTGCTGGTGGGATACCCTGCCCTCTCAAACTCCCAGGGAGGCATTAGTTTTCGGGGATACTGCCCCAGTGGGTATCACTGCTATGAGAATGGACGGTGAATAGTGCATTGTTGAGCGGCTAGTGACAGTGATAAGTACAGTGATTGTGGATAGCAGCAGCGGCAGTGACTACTGCACTGTCAAGAACTGCTCGTGGATGCAGTGATAACAGTGTTAGGCCAAACAGTGAGAAGAGTTCTAGGGAACAGTGCTTGTAAGGGTGTCAGTAGAAAGTGTCAGACTTTAAACTACAGTACCGTTATTTGTGAGGAGAATACCGTCAGTACCAACGGGTAGCAGTGTCGCTATCAACGGGAACAGTGTCAGTGCCAACGGGGACAGTGCCCGGGTGGAGGCAGGCGGGCAGTGGCCCTGACGACCCTACCCATCTGTTGGGCATTCCCGCTTGTAATGCAACTCATCTGAAGATGGCAGACGAAAATCTAGCGAGTGAGTATGTTGCAGATTTTATGCTGGAACCTTTGGACGATGTCATGGGCATCAAGGAGCACAAGGAGCTCCACGGCATGGGCATGGGTATGGGCCGTGTTCACTCCCATATGATGGCTCCTCATATGCCCAACATGGCTGCTACGAATGCCTGGATGAACCATCACCACCACTACCACCATCACCACAATCCTGGCGGTATCGGAGTAGTGCCCACACCGCAGGGTAAGCCACAGTCGCAAGTGCCAGGGACTCCCCCTGATACCCCGCCAGGGTCATCCCCTACCACGGGCTCCCTGCCCCCTTCACCGCACCTGCAGGGTATGCAGCAACACTCCCTCATGGAAGAAATGTGGACTTACAACCGCTACATGCACGAGCCACTGGACTTGCGGCCTGGCCCGCAGTGCGGTGGCGACCAGCTGGAGGCGCAGTCGTGGATGTTAGACCGCAAATGGGAAGCAGGAATGGCCCAACAGCGCACACTGAACCCTCTGGCACACCCAGGAAAGACCCCAGTAGACCAGTCCACCTGTCAGATGGGGTTACAGACCATGCAGCATCCTGGGTCTGTCTACATATCTGACGAAGAGTTGGTGACTCTCTCCGTCCGCGAACTCAACAGACGCCTCCACAACATGTCCAAAGACCTGCAGACGAAGTTCAAACAGAAACGGCGGACCTTGAAGAACCGGGGCTACGCCCAGAGCTGCAGAACCAAGCGCCAGAACTACAAGATGGAGTTAGAGACAGTTAACAGAACTCTGCAGAACGAGAACCAGAGGATCCAAGCGGAGGCCAGCCGTCTTAGTCAGCAGAACAGTATGTTCAAGACGGAGAACGCTTCCATCAGACACGACATGGAGAACATGAAAAAACAGTTGGAGAAGGCGGTGAGGGAGAATGATAATTTACGCCGACAGCTGCAACAACAGCAGCAACAGCAACAGTCTCAACAGCAGTCTCAGGATACATCAGGAGGCCAGGAGCTGTACAGTATGTGACCGTGCGGCCCTGAACAGCACTCACAGGAGGTGGTGTACAGCAAAAATAGAGAGGCTGTTTGGCCAGGAGACCCGCTCTAGACCACACCTGTGACTGGTTTGGTACCGTTCTAGACCAGACCTGTGACTGGTCTGGGTCCTAGCCTCCAAGGTCCCTCCTAGACCATACCTGCAAGCGGTCTAGAGGGTCTTCTGCGGTCCCTAGACCAGGCTCCCTCCTGCAGGTAGACCAGGCTCTCGTCCGGCTGTGATTTCCTCTCTTGGACGAGTTCAAAAGGTCCTAGACCAAGGGTGGACCAGTCCGCCCGTGCCTAGCCGCCCTAACCACCCTCCCCCGCCAACTCCACCCTACCGACAATCATCAGGAGGGCTTCGACACGGACGGCGGCCGCCCACCACCGCCGCCCACCGCCGCCGCCCACCGCCGCCCACCAACAGTTACGTGACCAGAGACAGTGTGGTTCTGTTATTTTCATACATACATTTTTATTAGACCTTTATATATTCTGGGAAAAACAGTCAGTTCCAAAAATAAATAATTCGGTAAGCTGGAATTTACCCTTATGACTCAAACCATGGTTTAGGAGCCATGGTTTTTGGGAACCCCCCTCTATATACAATCCCTGCTTGGGGGCCACTAACCCAGGGGCCCCCATGGGCCACTAACCCAGGAGCTCCTCATGGGGTCACTAACCCAGGAGCTCCTCATGGGGTCACTAACCCAGGAGCTCCTCATGGGGCCACTAACCAGTGGCTCCACATGGGGCCACTAGCCCAGGAGCTCCTCATGGGGCCACTAACCAGTGGCTCCACATGGGGCCACTAACCCAGGAGCTCCTCATGGGGTCACTAACCCAGGAGCTCCTCAAGGGGTCAATAACCCAGTGGCTCCACATGGGGCCACTAACGCAGGAACTCCTCATGGGGTCACTAACCCAAGAATTCCTCATGGGGTCACTAACCAGTGGCTCCACATGGGGCCACTAACCCAGGAGCTCCTCATGGGGTCACTAACCAGTGGCTCCACATGGGGCCACTAACCCAGGAGCTCCTCATGGGGTCACTAACCCAGGAGCTCCTCATGGGGTCACTAACCCAGTGGCTCCACATGGGGCCACTAACCAGTGGCTCCACATGGGGCCACTAACCCAGGGGCCCCACATGGGCCACTGTGGCCCTCATACAATGCTTCAACGACCCTTTAGATATCCAGCCTCGCCCATCTGTTCCACTTCGCAAGTATCGCAGTGACCAACGAACTTAGCACAAAGATAACGAGACGATGTGGAAGTGAACGATACCCTGTGGCAACTGTTACGATAGATTTGTACATATACGGTGTGGCAGAAAATATCGTCCATTTCACTTAGAGTGTTGTGTACACACGGTGTTTGTGGGGGAACACGTGTGTGTACACACGGTGTATCTGGGAGAACACGCCTGTTATTGCTACTTATAACTGTATGTTTGGAGAGTGTATTAGCCGCCTTCCCCCGCCCCACCCCCTGTTGTATGCGTCTGTACCCCTCGGTGTATAGGCTTGTTCTGTACCCCTCGGTGTATAGGCTTGTTCTGTACCCCTCGGTGTATAGGCTTGTTCTGTACCCCTCGGTATATAGGCTTGTTCTGTACCCTCGGTGTATAGGCTTGTTCTGTACCCCTCGGTGTATAGGCTTGTTCTGTACCCCTCGGTGTATAGGCTTGTTTCTGTACCCCTCGGTATATAGGCTTGTTCTGTACCCCTCGGTGTATAGGCTTGTTCTGTACCCCTCGGTGTATAGGCTTGTTCTGTACCCCTCGGTATATAGGCTTGTTCTGTACCCCTCGGTGTATAGGCTTGTTCTGTACCCCTCGGTGTATAGGCTTGTTCTGTACCCCTCGGTGTATAGGCTTGTTCTGTACCCCTCGGTGTATAGACTTGTTCTGTACCCTCGGTTGTATAGACTTGTTCTGTACCCCTCGGTGTATAGACTTGTTCTGTACCCCTCGGTGTATAGACTTGTTCTGTACCCCTCGGTGTATAGGCTTGTTCTGTACCCCTCGGTGTATAGAACTTGTTCTGTACCCCTCGGTGTATAGACTTGTTCTGTACCCCTCGGTGTATAGACTTGTTCTGTACCCCTCGGTGTATAGGCTTGTTCTGTACCCCTCGGTGTATAGGCTTGTTCTGTACCCCTCGGTGTATAGACTTGTTCTGTACCCCTCGGTGTATAGACTTGTTCTGTACCCCTCGGTGTATAGGCTTGTTCTGTACCCCTCGGTGTATAGACTTGTTCTGTACCCCTCGGTGTATAGACTTGTTCTGTACCCCTCGGTGTATAGGCTTGTTCTGTACCCCTCGGTGTATAGGCTTGTTCTGTACCCCTCGGTGTACAGGCTTATTCTGTGCCCCTCGGTGTATAGGCTTGTTCTGTACCCCTCGGTGTATAGACTTGTTCTGTACCCCTCGGTGTATAGGCTTGTTCTGTACCCCTCGGTGTATAGACTTGTTCTGTACCCCTCGGTGTATAGGCTTATTCTGTGCCCCTCGGTGTATAGGCTTGTTCTGTACCCCTCGGTGTATAGGCTTATTCTGTGCCCCTCGGTGTATAGGCTTATTCTGTGCCCCTCGGTGTATAGGCTTGTTCTATACCCCTCGGTGTATAGGCCTACCCTGTACCCCTTGGTGTATAGGCCTACCCTGTACCCCTTGGTGTATAGGCCTACCATGTACTCCAGTGTATAGGCCTACCATGTACCCCAGTGTATAGGCCTACCCTATACCCCCCACGATCGCTGATTTTTAAAAAAAAAAAAAAATTATGCCTAAAAAATTTCAACATCTCACCCACAAGGGTCTTCACCCCCCCCAAAGAAAAGAGCAGGCGCTAAACCCGTACGGCTCGTTTTTAAATCAGCCAGTGTAAGGGTACCAAGACTCTTGTGAGTGAGGTGTTACTGAGATACTGAGAATCAAACTCTTGTGTTATTCCAATTTGGGGTATACCAGAGGTATACCAGGGGTATACCTGAGGTATACCAGGGGTATACCAGAGGTATACCAGGGGTATACCAGAGGTATACCAGGGGTATACCAGAGGTATACCAGGGGTATACCAGAGGTATACCAGGGGTATACCTGAGGTATACCAGGGGTATACCTGAGGTATACCAGGGGTATACCTGAGGTATACCAGGGGTATACCAGAGGTATACCAGGGGTATACCAGAGGTATACCAGGGGTATACCAGAGGTATACCAGGGGTATACCAGAGGTATACCAGGGGTATACCAGAGGTTTTACCAGGGGTATACCTGAGGTATACCAGGGGTATACCTGAGGTATACCAGGGGTATACCTGAGGTATACCAGGGGTATACCAGAGGTATACCAGGGGTATACCTGAGGTATACCAGGGGTATACCTGAGGTATACCAGGGGTATACCTGAGGTATACTCATTACACCAGCTGGTGTTAACCCGTGGAATACCCAAAATATTGGAAAATATCTGTATTAATTCTACCTGGTATTAAATACCATCTGAAAGGGATACCACAACCTCATGTATACCTGAGGTATACCTGTTATGTATACACCAGCTGGTGTTAACCCGGGTGGAATACCCGCAATGTTTAGAAAATCTCTGTTAATTCCAAAGGGCTACCACAACCTCAGGTATACCTGAGGTATACCAAAGTCTGTATATACCTTTTATGCAAATATCGCAAACAAGCGATTCAAGATGCGGAACAGCTAAATGGGGGTTGAATGATAGCTCTAGGCCTTTCGTGTTGAAATCAGTACTTCATCAGGAGCATACAATTCTGCAGAGGTCAGAGGGATCACCCTAATACCTTCTCCTCCTCCTTAGCAACATTGTAAGCCCCTGATGATGTACTGATTGCAAAGCGAAAGGCCTAGAAATATTGTGAGCCCCTGATGATGTACTGATTTCAACAAGGCCTAGAGCTACCATTCAACCTCTCCCACCGTGGTTGTTCTGTAACACCAGCTACAACACCAACTACAACACCAACTACAACACCAACTACAACACCAGCTACAACACCAGCTACAACACCAACTACAACACCAGCTACAACACCAACTACGACACCAACTACAACACCAGCTACAACACCAGCTACAACACCAGCTACAACACCAGCTACAACACCAACTACAACACCAGCTACAACACCAGCTACAACACCAACTACAACACCAACTACAACACCAGCTACAACACCAGCTACAACACCAGCTACAACACCAGCTGCATCACCAGCTACAACACCAGCTACAACACCAGCTACAACACCAGCTACAACACCAGCTACAACACCAGCTACAACACCAGCTACAACACCAGCTAAAACACCAACTACAACACCAACTACAACACCAGCTACCACACCAGCTACAACACCAGCTACAACACCAGCTACAACACCAGCTACAACACCAGCTACAACACCAGCTACAACACCAACTACAACAACAACTACAACACCAACTACAACACCAACTACAACAACAACTACAACACCAGTTACAACACCAGCTACAACACCAACTACAACACCAACTACAACACCAACTACAACACCAACTACAACACCAACTACAACACCAGCTACAACACCAACTACAACAACTACAACACCAACTACAACACCAACTACAACACCAACTACAACACCAACTACAACACCAACTACAACACCAACTACAACAACTACAACACCAACTACAACACCAACTACAACACCAACACAACAACAACTACAACACCAACTACAACACCAACTACAACACCAACTACAACAACTACACACCAACTACAACAACTACAACAACAACTACAACACCAACTACAACACCAACTACAACACCAACTACAACAACTACAACACCAACTACAACAACTACAACAACAACTACAACACCAACTACAACAATAACTACAACACCAACTACAACAACTACAACAACACTACAACACCAACTACAACACCAACTACAACACCACTACAACAACAACTACAACACCAACTACAACAACTACAACAACAACTACAACACAACTACAACAACTACAACACCAACTACAACAACAACTACAACACCAACTACAACAACTACAACAACAACTACAACACCAACTACAACAACAACTACAACACCAACTACAACAACTAACACACCAACTACAACAACAACTACAACACCAACTACAACAACTACAACAACAACTACAACACCAACTACAACAATAACTACAACACCAACTACAACAACAACTACAACACCAACTACAACAACTACAGCACGAACTACAACAACTACAACAACTACAACAACAACTACAACAACTACAACAACAACTACAACAACAACTACAACAACAACTACAACGCCAACTACAACAACTACAACACGAACTAAAAACAACTACAACAACTACAACAACAACTACAACGCCAACTACAACAACTACAACACGAACTACAACAACTACAACAACTACAACAACAACTACCAACAACAACTACAACAACTGCAACACGAACTACAACAACTACAACAACTACAACAACAACTACAACAACTACAACAACAACTACAACAACAACAACAACAACAACTACAAAAAACTACAACAACAACTACAACAACTACAACAACAACTACAACACACACTACAACAACAACTACAACAACAACTACAACAACTGCAACACGAACTACAACAACTACAACAACTACAACAGCAACTACAACAACTACAACACGAACTACAACAACAACTACAACAACAACTACAACAACTACAACAACAACTACAACAACTACAACACCAACTACAACAACAACTACAACAACTACAACAACAACTACAACAACTACAACAACAACTACAACAACTACAACACCAACTACAACAACAACTACAACAACTACAACACCAACACAAACAACTACAACTACAGCAACAACTACAGCACCACACAACAACAACTACAACTACAACTACAACAACTACACACAACTACAACTCAACTACAAACAACTAACTACACAAACTACCAATACAACAACTACAACAACAACATACAAAACAACTCAACAACTACAACAACTACAACAAACTACAACAACTACAACAACAACTACAACAACAACTACACAACAACTCAACAACACTACACAACAACTACAACAACTACAACAACAATACACAACTACAACAACAACTACAACAACAACTAAAACAACAACTACAACAACAACTACACAACTACAACAACAACTACAACAACAACTAAAACAACAACTACAACAACAACTAAACAACAACTACAACAACAACTAAACAACAACTACAACAACAACTACAACAAAACTACAACAACACTACAACAACAACTAAACAACAACTAAACAACAACTACAACAACAACTACAACAACATAACAACAACAACTACAACAACTACAACAACAACTACAAACAACTACAAAACAACTACACAACAACTACAACACTACAACAACAACTACAACAACTACAACAACAACTACAACAACAACTACAACAACACAACACTACCAACAACAACTCACACAAACAACAACACAACAACTACAACAACTACAACAACAACTACAACAACAACTACAACAACACCTACAACAACTACAACAACAACTACAACAACAACTACAACAACAACTACAACAACAACTACAACATTTGTTACTCACATCTTTATGTTATGAATTAAAATTTATTATTAACTAAATTTTGTCTCATTTTTCCAAAATCCAGTTTTTATATATTTTTCAGTTTATATATATATAATTATCAGCTGATTATTGTTTACATTACTGGGATGATCAGCTGATTATTTTTTACATTACTGGGTTGATCAGCTGATTATTGTTTACATTACTGGGATGATCAGCTGATTATTGTTTACATTACTGGGTTGATCAGCTGATTATTGTTTACATTACTGGGATGATCAGCTGATTATTTTTTACATTACTGGGTTGATCAGCTGATTATTGTTTACATTACTGGGATGATCAGCTGATTATTGTTTACATTACTGGTTTTGATCAGCTGATTATGTTTACATTACTGGGATGATCAGCTGATTATTTTTTACATTACTGGGTTGATCAGCTGATTATTGTTTACATTACTGGGATGATCAGCTGATTATTGTTTACATTACTGGGATGATCAGCTGATTATTGTTTACATTACTGGGATGATCAGCTGATTATTGTTTACATTACTGGGATGATCAGCTGATTATTGTTTACATTACTGGGTTGATCAGCTGATTATTGTTTACATTACTGGGTTGATCAGCTGATTACAAGGGAGGTTCCTGACTCCCGTGGAGGGCTCTTGATTCTAGGGATTGGAGCAATAGTCACTCCATTCCCTGGGAACAAACCTGACTGCCTCCCTCCCTCCCCCCTCACGAGGAGTAGGTGCATGACCTCCCCAGCGGGTTTAGCGCTCCCCAGGCATGCAGGCTCATACCCTTATCCAAATCTAGGGATTAATCGAATCTCACACATTATCCTATGTAATCCAGCCCTTAATCTTTGTAATCCAGCCCTTAATCTTTGTAATCCAGCCCTTAATCTTTGTAATCCAGCCCTTAATCTTTGTAATCCAACCCTTATCCTATGTAATCCAACCCTTAATCTTTGTAATCCAACCCTTATCCTATGTAACCCAGCCCTTAATCTTTGTAATCCAGCCCTTAATCTTTGTAATCCAGCCCTTAATCTTTGTAATCCAGCCCTTAATCTTTGTAATC